GATAAGAAGTAACATTGTCATTGTTGCTTTTGCTGTCATTATCATTACTTTTATCATCATCATTATTATAGTTGTTGATGTTTTATTAGTATTATCATTATTGTTTCCATTATTACATTTATTATCATAATTATTGTTATTAACGTTATTACCGTTATTGTTATTTTTATCATTATTATTGTTATTATGCTTAATATTATTCTATAATTATCATTATTATTATTATCATCATTATTTTCATTAACATTAGCATTCTATCATTATTATTATTATTATTATTATTATTTTCATTATTATTATCATTATTTTCATTATTATTAGCAATCTATCATTATTTTTATTATTGACATTATTTAATGGCTGGCTTAAGAAAATAATTATAATGATAATAAATTAACAAAAATATTCCCTTCTCAAGTGAAGTCTAAACCAGTTGTTCCTAAACTTTTTTCATGCCATCCTTGCAACACTTAACAGATGATGCAAACTCAAAACGCACGTCTTTTACTTCAATACATTTTACAAAAATATACTGAAGTAAAAGAGAAGAGGCTGAACGAACAATGAACTCACATAACAAGCAGTGTATTAGGCAGTAAGAGTCATTGCTGGGATTAACAAGAAGTATAGTAGAGATCGTAAATTATGCTGCAGAAAGGAAGAACTGAATAATAGATGGCAGAAAGACCGACCCATCCGCGAACAATACCAAAAGCATGGGAAGAAGAAACACGACTGTTCATGAACGATTTTATGGCGTCATGAACAACAGGGGAATTGAAACAGTGGTGGGAGAGGATGGTCATATAACCACAGATATGTTTTAAGATTTGGGAAATAAGAAAGCGACTGCTAGAATGATTCTTTGATATATGCAGTATTTTGATAACTTTACACCAAAAATCTCGCGAAACCGTTGCTCGTATGTCGAGAGTTTAAAAACAGTCCAATGGTACTTGTTATGAAGTTACTGAAAATTAATGAAAAGAGGATAAATAAAGATTTGAGCACCGAAATTATTGAATTTGCATTTTTGATTTAGAAGGGGAAATGGTACAAGGGAAGACATTTCTGCTCTCCGCACCATTTAAGTTCAGATCTGTTCAGAAAGAGGTTTATGTGTGCTTCGTCGCTTATCCCAATGGCGCCGGGTGTACAAAACAAAACAAAAAAAAAAACTCTACGCTTAAGCAAACAAAGGCGGCGCGCCGACTTTGAGCGCGTGAGTAGGGGACATCAGCCCGAATCACTGGCTCGCCGCGCTTTGGCGCGCCGCCGGCTCGTTCGGCTGCACGCCAGCTTTCGAGCGCTTTGTTTACACGCCGATCGGCGTCACCCGGCACCAAGGGGTTATGACATGATTTTGACCGGGTTCAACATCACAAATTCTTATTAAAGTATTAAAACTAATAAATATTAGCAAAATGCAATCAAAATCTCCACAAGCAATAAAACTCACAGAAAATAGTGATAAGAAATTAGAACACAAAACGAAAATCCGATACCTGCATGGGGACAGAGATCACCTAAGTTGAAAGAGAGTCAAGCAAAATAATAATAACGAATAAAGTAAATAAAAAAAATCAACATGAGAAAAAATTTATCAAACCGAACTATCATACGGTGTCCGGAAACATGGACCCTCAATATAAATTTATGCAGAAAGCAAGGTTTTAGACGCGACATATAAACAATAAACGCGTTGGAGAAAGAGAACCGCCAACGAAATAGTGTTGGAGATAGTGGAGGGGGAAAGGAAATTGTTGTTAATAGTGGTAGTCAAAGAAGGTGAGAACTGTGGTTACATTTATATATATATATATATATATATATATATATATATATATACAGTAAAACCTGAGAAAACCGGACCCTGAGTAAACCGGATCACTGTCCATTCCGGACGATATTCTCAGTCCCTTCCCATTTCAATAGGCGGCCTGTGTTAAAAGCCCACCCTCTCCAAACTGGATCACTGTCCAAACCGGACATTTTTTACAGCCCCATGGGTGTTCGGTTTTCTCAGGTTTTACTGTATATGTGTGTGTGTGTGTGTGCGTGTGTGTGTGTGTGTTTATATACATATAAATGCACATATGTGCAATCACACACACAAAATATCAGTGTTTGTGTGCATACTTTTTTTTTCTCTCTCTCCCGCTTTTATCTTAGTTGATGTCCGTGGCCCACCTGAGAACCAGCCTTTAACCCATTCACGACGGGGAAAATTAATAAAAAAAATAAGGAAAATGCTGTGCTCATTTTTTAATATTTTTTTGTGAAATGTCTCTACACATAGATGGCTCTGCCTTACCTGATTTCACCTTTCCTTGAAATGGCAGGAAAATGTACTTTTTACTAGTGCTATGAATATCGATGGTGTTACTTTTATTATAGACATTATAATTACTATAATGTTTTAAACATTTGTAACAGCAAAATATGATAACGTAAAATATTTTCGTAAATCAAAGAAAAGGGTAAACGGGCGAGAAAGGCAGCACTCGTAATTGGCTCATTGGTGATTTAGTACAAGTGTAGCCATCTATGTGTAAAAACAATTAAAGAAGTAAACTCACAGTGGGTATATCACGGATACGTGACATGCCCGTCGCGAATGGGTTAATTTAACCCATACATCATCATCACTGGGGTGCTAACGCCGGCGGGGGCGCATAGCTGCACCCACCCTTTCACCTACGAGGGTCCCACATGGCAAGCCGCTAGGCAAGGGTCCGGCCCACTTCTAGCTCTTCACGACAGGTTTGATCGATCTGCCCAAGCCACGACTTCCTCAGGCGTCCCACAGGCCTCCTCCACCCAGGGTTGTCTCGAACAGAGACAACCTGGTGGGCAGGATCAACTTTTGAGAAACGACCCAGGTGACCGTATAGCCTGAGTTGGCGATCGCGGATTGAGCAAGAAACAGCTCCTGTACCAGTCTCACTTTGCAACCGTTGGTTGGACAAATTGTCCCGCCAACTGTACCCCATGATCCGATGCAAGGGCATGTTACAAAAGGCATCAAGACAAGATTCCAAAGCACAAGATAGCGTCCAGGTTTCACTACTGTATAGTAAAACTGGCAGTATCAGGGCCTTGAAGACACGTTGCTTGGTCCTTCTGCACAGGTACCGGCATCTCCAAATACTCTTGTCGAGAGATTTCATGACCGCTGCTGCCAGGCCAATCTGTCTACTGACTTCCAAATCTGACAGCCCGGAGTCATGAACTGCACTACCGAGGTATATAAAGCTCTCTGCGACTTCGTTATTCTCACCGTAAGCACGTATCGGATCTTTTAGCAGGCCTCCAAAGTTCTGGATCTAGGTCTTGGTCCATGAGACCTCTAGCCCCAGGGGCTTCACTGCTAAATGTACCAAGAGCCGCCACTAGGGTTTCCAGAGACTCAGTTAGAATAGCAACATCAGTAAAGTCAAGGTCGGTAACCTTGATATTGCCCAGAGTTGCTCCACAGAGACTTTGGACAGTAGCTCTACCCAGTACCCAGCCCATGAAAATGTTGAAAAGTGATGGTGCAAGAACACAAACCTTGCCTCATTATTGAACTAACAAGGAAGAAGCTCGACAGGCCCCCATCACACTTTACAGCACTTTGAGTACCAGTATACAGGCCTGCTGTTAATCCAATAATCCTTGTTGGAATTCCCCCTAGTCTCAGGATCTCCTAGAGTGATTCGCGATGCACCGTATCAAACGGCTTCTTGAGGTCGATGTATGCTGCAAGCAGCCCACACCCATTAACGTAAGCCATTAAATTAATGGCTTAAGCAATATTTACTTTGGATACAAATGAATAAATAATTAATTAATAATAAAAACGAGTGAAAATTGGCCACCTTCAAAATGTCATGAAAACGGAACGATCTTGAAAGTGCTGTGACCTTTTTTATGCTGATCACCACTTTACCGAAAACTTCCAACCACTCGAAATTCTTCTAATTGTTTCTTGATCTTGTTTGGTTTATCTAATCTTATTATTATTTTTTTTACTCATGTGAAGATAATGATAAACTTTATCAACATTACACGTTAATATTTTATTTTCTAAATACAATATTCCCTCTTATATAACATCAACATAAGAGATTTTCTTTTATAATTTTGTCTTTTCATTTTCTCGATTTACGTAAAATCGATCTGCTTTTCCTGTATTTTTATAATACCTTTATACATAGTTTAATATGCCACCATAGATCTTCGTTAGCAGGTAAGTAAGAGATACCACGGTTGAAATAGTAACTTCTTAGCGTACTCCTTTAATGATTAATTCAATTTGTATCAGCATGTCTCCTGATAAAACATGTAGGCCTATTATATAAAGTATCCATTAGCAATATATTGAGAATGTTACTACCTCATGGGCAGTTTTCTGGTAATAACCGAAGCCAAGGCCCTTATTATATTTAAGTTGT